AGATAAAAATTAAAAACTTTAACGTTTTTTTATGGCATTAAATTAGATTTAGGTATATATAAATATTTTATTTGTTTAATAATAGGAGTATTTCTTCTTTTTCAGAATCCAGAGCTCGTTCCCGGCTTTTTGAGTTATGGCAGAGGGTAAGTCATTTCTAATTAATTATTATTTTAAATGTTTTCAAAAGACATATCTGTCTTTTGCGAAGGTGTGCTCTTTTAACGCATATTTTATTGACCTTCTCATCTGACCTTTATATTTGCACATTACTCAAAAGTATCGCATATGTTGTTTTTTCAAGTTCATTTTGAAACAGTTGTATTTTTGCATATGTAATACTAAACTAAATGAAGCTGTTCAATCAAAGTTTATATACAAGATTAGGAAAAGATGATACCTAGAAGTAATGCAGCAAAAATGACAAATTTCAAAAATCACTTACTTTTTGTTTTCATCGGTTGTACGAACAGACTTGTTGTCATCACCTCCGTCTTCGTCAAAATCACTTGTTGCGCTGCAATGCAAACAATAATAATTAGGTATTATATAAGCAAGAAAACTATTAATTTTCGGATTGGTTTGTATAGAATAGGCAGACGACGTAAATCTAATTTTTCAGTAATTTTGTGGTAACTCGTTTCCATATTACCTACATACAGGTACATACGGTAGTAATTTTTACCACATCGCCACACGGATTGAAACATTTGAAATCTTTTATAGTTTTCTGGATCTTGTAACATGTTGGTAAAGGCTTTCCCGGCCAGTTGATGAACTGATACTTCCCTGATTCGGATCTAAAGGTCGTCGGAGTGGTGAACTCCTTCAGAAATTCTTCCAACTTCAACCGATGACGGCCTTTAGATCAAAATCAAGACAGCATCAGTTGTATTGTAAAGGGGTAGTAGTTTATAAGAAGTACAAACATAAAATATTTTCACTTTTGCCTGAGCTTTCCTTGAAAGTTTTGCGAAAAGCATGAAGAATAATTAACTAATTTTCAAAAAATTGCAATCTCTAAAAAGGAATAACATCAATTCTGAACAAGAATTTGCAAAAGCTTTCTCAAAAGAAAGAATTAAAATTAGAAAATCTTAAGGAAAAAATAATTCTTCCTGTATGTCCATTATGGGTCAAGATTTCATAATACTCATAACAACAAAACAGTTGCTTGCCGCATCAATTCTCAGTTTTATATTTCAAGAATTACAGTTTGTATGCAAAAAGAACTTTTCAATTATTTACTTAACGTAAAAAGTTGATATCAATAAGTTTTCTGGTAAATGCAAGATGCTCTTGCTTTCACTTCTTGTTTTCATTTAGCAGTGGTAGCAAGTAGATTATAAAGAATCTGATCAAGAATTACTAATTTTTGAATTTTTTATAACTTTCATCCTAAGTGTTTTGAAAGAATCAATTAAGCTTCTTGGTTAGAAATAATAATCTCAATAGAATATACTAACATTATTCCTTATTCTGATAACTTCTTTGCAAATCCTGTTTGTCTAAAATGTTTTAGGCTAAAATATAATATATTTATTATTGTTTTTGAAATCATTATACCTATTACTTAACAGCAAGTCTTTCATAGGTATTAAGTAACAAAACCTTCCATACAACGCTTGTATGAAACATGTGTTTGTCGGATTTTCTTTAAAAAAATTTTCCCTTTCAATGCAACCTTTTTACCCTTTCACAAGAACGAAAGAAAATTTATGATACGAATAACGAATCCTTGCAAGTTTTCTTAAAGAATAACAACTGGGTTTTCATTAGAGTTAGAACAAGAACAAAGAACTTTGTGTTTTTCATGTTTTTTTTTAATTTTCATTTATTTTAAAACAATGCCGCGTACTTCAAAAGATTTTTAAACATGTACATAATTATATACTCACTTATATGTCAATTGTACGATAACTTACAAGTTTTGTTATATTTCGGGAAACTCCTTTGAATAGAAGGTATGTAATTAACGTTCCAATCGACCGGCATTTAACCAACCAAACATCGTAATTAACACCACCCAGGACGGGGTTTATTTTCCTAAATCTAAGACATGCTGGGTGTATGAAATACATGTGTGTATTCGCCTCTCGGTACGTAAGTGGTTTGATTATATCGCGTACAAGTCAATATTACTATGCACTTCTGAGGATTTACTTGTAATTGAGTTTCGAAAGGGTTTTCGCTGCGAACATTTTAGTACGAATAATAAACCCGCTACATCCAATTTGGTCTCTGATTTTAAACTGAAATCGCAATCTAACAAAACTATTTACCTACCTCCTTGTTTATAAAATAAATAAAGTGGCAACAGGCTCTTAACGAGGCAGGATTAATTGGTAGGGTATTTCCTGTTATAATTCGCATACATTTGCAAGAATTATTCGATTAATTTGACTTATTATCTACACATGAATATTAAACAGTTTAACTAATTGTAGGTGCGAAAAAGGAAATGCAAGGTGTTTTATGAAATCCCTCTTCATTTTACAATTACATGTCAAGTTACTACTTTTCAAAAAAGAGTTCGTATTAAATGAATAAAATTATATACAAGTAATTCAATTCACGACCAATATCCTTTCACTACGATTTAAGAAATTCTATAATGAAATGGCAAGAATGGAACACCAACAATTAATTTAGAAATTCGGAAAAGGTGTGAGACTGGAGCACGGCATATTTTACGGGTAGGAAACGTGGACGGTGGGTGCGGAAAGGGTAAAAAATGAGGAGTTATTAGAAAGAGAAAGAGAATAAAGGGCCCTATGGAAGTCAATAAAAAAAAAGAGGCGAAATAGGTTAGTAAGGCACCTTTTCAGGCATGAAATGCTAGTTAGAGACATATTAGAAACAGAAACAGGAGTTCAGAGGGGTAGAGGTAGATCTAGATTAGATTTGTTCGCCAATAGTTCAGGATGTGAGAAAGTCTAGTTTTGGGAAAATGCGAAGATTCGTTCAGAGTAGGAAGGAGTCTTAGGACTAACGACCTCATGTTGAGGACGACTCCTTGAATGTCGAAAGGCGTATAATTTTTTTTTTGTATGTGTAGTTTTCTCGAGTTGGGGTAGTTTATACTTAATCGCACCCTTATTTCATGCACTTTTAAGTAAAATTTTGAGGTTGCTGTGTCTGCGCGCGGCGCTGTACGGATGCGAAACATGGACGGTGGGCGCTGCGGAATAGAAAGGGTTAAAAGCGTTCGAAGTGTGGTGTTACAGGCGAATGATGAGGATACCATGAATAGACAAGGTTAGAAATGAAGGGATATTGGAAAGAATAGGAGAACAGAGGACTTTACGGAAGTCAATAAGAAATAGGCGAGATAGGTTGATAAAACACCTATTCAGGCATGTAGACACATATTAGAAGCAGAAACAGAAGTTAAGAGGAGCAGAGGTAGATATAGATTAGATTACTGTTCACAAATAGTTTAGGATGTGGGAAAGTCTAGTATGAAGAAGATTTGTTCAGAATAGGAAAGAGTGGAGGTGCGTGTTGAATCAGCCTTAGGACCAACGACCTTATGATGATGTTGATGCTGATGATGAATGAAGCCCTTATAACAATTCCGCTATGACCTTGTCGTTTGCCTATTTAGAGACAGAGCTTTACGTGTAGTTTTCTCGAGTTGGTTTAGTTTATACTTCACTGCACCCTTAGTTCATGCACCCCTAAGTAAAATTTTGAAGTTGCTATTAAACCATCGGTTTCAGAATAAAAACTTTAGCAAGTTATAGTTCCGACGATATTAACTCAAATATATACAGATCAACTATCAATCGATACGAATATCGCTTTAAGAACATTATTTTAAATATTTTTATTTTTAAAGCGCATATTAACTACGTTACGTGTTTAAAAAAATGGCGAATGATATTCGTGATTAGCATGTGATTAGTTTCATAGGAATTTTTTTTTAATATCGTAATTACAAAAATTGCATAGTTCATAGCAAAATAATATATTAAGGATCTGTAAAAAATATAAACATGTTTACATTTACGTCAAGAAATGAATAGTGAAATGAAATAATCAAGTTAATTAACATATACTTATTGAATAATTACAATTAACATCAAATGTTCGAATATATTTGTAATGAGAGTAGAAAGTAATTACTGTAAAATACGAAAAAAGAAGGAAACCCAAATTCATAAAATTTTACGACCTAATGAAAGAAAAGTGTGTATTCACTAAATATGTTTAGCAGAAAGAAAACTTCGGAACTTTGAGCATCTACCACAAATTCAAAACGAAATTCTATTTGCCTCAAGTAATCACAAGTATTTTCCAAATAAATAACAAATATAATTGTTCGACTAGTTCAGAAAAGTAAATATGCATTAAAACTGGCGATAAGATGTGATGAGTAGACCGATTTATATACTCATAACGTTCATCAAAAATTTAAATTCAATTTTTGAAGTAATTATAAAACGTTTGTTCTCCGTATTACGTCCAAAAAAAATAAAGTGATGAAAACCCTAATTAAGGAAGATAACAAAGATATTTCGATGCACGTTTGACGATAATAATAATTACTGAAAAGACTTCATAACGGATGTTTTATGCAGATGTAAATAAATTTTATATCCATATATTACTGGCTCATACCTCGACCCAGCGGACTATTCTTCCTGTATGTCCATTATGGGTCAAGATTTCATAATACTCATAACAACAAAACAGTTGCTTGCCGCATCAATTCTCAGTTTTATATTTCAAGAATTACAGTTTGTATGCAAAAAGAACTTTTCAATTATTTACTTAACGTAAAAAGTTGATATCAATAAGTTTTCTGGTAAATGCAAGATGCTCTTGCTTTCACTTCTTGTTTTCATNTTTAAATGAAGTAGAATCCGCTTATAATGACATCGAAGGGAAATGACAAACACGTCATACTAAGCGGGCATCATACAAAGCATAATCTTAGACAATAAACAACTTTCTATTTTGGTTAGTTATTTACTTTAATAGAGAGAAAAACTACAAATTGTATATAAATATTAACAGAATAAGAAAAAGAACGATGAATTGTGATATCAATATACATAAGAAGGGTCAGAAAAATGAGCGAAAATATTATTAATCATTTGTGTCGCTATAGCCAGATATGATTTCTTGAGAATCAGTCATAATAAACTATATGTCATTTTAAACGGAGTCATTATATCCAAACTTTCCTATAGAGAATTTAATATGAAAACCAAACTTAACACTGTATAATTACTTCATATTAAGCGGTTGGTCAATATAGGCGGAGTCATAATAAACGAATGCCACTGTACATAAATTTATCTATACGGTCGCATTATTTGTTATAATTTATTATTTGAATAAGGAAAACAAAGGATAAAAATAATGAGTAGGATATACCTGAACGATGCTTTTCTTTTTCTCCTGGATGTGCTGTATGTACTGTCTATCCGTTGCATTTCCATCATACTGTTCGAATTCATAGAACCCGGAGTTGACTGGCTTGTTTGAGAATACTGAATGGTCGATACACAAGAATCACTGTAAATAACAAATAAATACAATCAAAATTACATAATAACAACTACATTCCGTTTTAAACTCGGGTCAAGAACTGCCGATCTTAATCGTAGGTAACATTACTGTTCTTGTAACTATTTGTAATCATCAACATGTATTTATGTATATAGATAATATTTATATGGTAATACTTAATACTAATACAATTGCACAATTGCGTGGTCAAAAAATATTATTTAATTTGACTTTCTTATCATAACAGATAATTAAAAGAAAGGAATTAATACATTGATAATTCAAGTTAACAACGAAGAAATGTGAAGGCAAACTAGATAGCAAAACGTCTGTTTTTGCATTTTTTTGCAGTAAAAATATTGTTTGAATAAGCAAAATGATCGTAACATTTTGGTACCTAATAGTTGTTGAAAGGCGATCTGACGTCTGATATGATATTTCGTATTAAATTAAATAATTATTATTGGTCATATCGAAATAGAAAACAAAAAGTTATTGATATATTAATTCAGAAATCGTTTATTTTCCAAATTATAATTCTTTTGGATGGTTGAGAGTAAAATTTTGGCGTTCGACAGTATGAAGTTAGCGGTGTGACTATAGGTTAGCATCCTTCTCAAATTCTACTATCCTCACATGTTTCAGACCGTCTACCTCCCTGTCAGATATTCTACACCGTCTGATCTCTTCTTTTTTCTAAAATTTACATCTCTTAACTCATTAACTGTCCTCAAGTCTACTAGAACGCCTACATCCTTCCTTCTAAATAACTTGGCTCCCATCTCCTTCGTCTTTTCACGAAATCTCCCTCGGCCCCACCACATATCTTCTATTTTTCTTATATCCTCTTCCATTAATATTTCCCCGCATCTGTTCCTCATCAATTCCCCTATATTCCACTCCCTCACCTGCCCCAGACTGAATTTTAATTTCTTTAATATCCTCTGCTTCTCTATCATATCTACTTTTTTTTTATCCTCACTTTTCTATCTCTACTCCCGTCTATATTATCCTGTTTTATCCCTTTCTAGCTAAACTATTTCTATACTTTCTCTGGACTTCTGAGCTTATACAACAGTGTACTAAGGCTTAGCTAATGCTACTGCTACTGTTCCGACGTTGTAATAGAAATTGGTGCAGTTATCTCCGCTGATAATACCACAGTGTAGAATTAGGTCTAATAATCAGATTTTTTAATTAAAAATCGCGAATATAGATATCTACAATATTTCAATGAACTTAATTACCTAACAGTCAGGTTGGTCCCAAATTTTATATTTAACATACTGTTTCTATGAAGATTATGTTTTAAAAGTGACCAAAATAAAACATTTGTCAATTCTAGTTGATTGTGCAAAGAGTTTATCTCGTAACCAAAAATGATTACATTTTAAACAGATACTTCTCATTTGTTTAGACGCTGCTGTATAAATTACTGCTTTGTTAATATAATAATATAATTATTTTTTTGGATATTATTAAATTTAAAAAACTGTCGGATCTTATCATTTTCCCTTTAATAAATAAATTATTCCAAAAAAGTTCACATATGAAAGATGAAAGTTTATAACAGTTATTACTGGTTCAAGAAAAATTTAACTATCACATTGCCTAAACTTCAATTAATAGTATTAACTCTTACATGTCTTGGACCTTCGAGAAACAAACCCATCTCAGTGCAACTATTTTACTATTTGTCGTTACAATTTTCCGTTTATTCTTGTTAAATTTTTCAAAACAATGAACTGTAGTTTAGCACAAATGTTCATTTTGTGACGACGCGTACAACACTGTTAGAAATATTACAAAAGTTTGTTGTAAAACTAAGAAAACTTAAAAAGAAAAGGTTAAGTGTATCCTAAGACCTTGACGCTAAATCAAACCTAACTGGGATTTAAATATATTACTAACTGGTCTCGCGGCAATATTATAAATGCAAATTTTGCATGTTTTTACGTAGATTGAAAATCAGCGGCATGATTGTAGTCTCAATTATTTTAAACTGAACTAATTATTTTACAATAATAATTAAGGTATATTATCAACGGTATACCTTTTATTATACGATTGACAAAAAATCACAGATGGCTTTCTTAGGGTTCACATACGATTGGATTACTAATTTGTAGGTACTCGTCTCCTACAGTCGCGTGGACTCGTAAAGGATAATAAAGAAGATAAAGAAATTTGTCTAACTAAATAAACTAAAAGTAATGTAACCCTAATTGCACAAAATGTGGAAATTATCAACGCCAGATGTTTTGGAAAACCTTTGGAAATTTTACCATTTTTGTACTCGCCTTCAGTTCCCCTCATCACATTCTTAAACCATTTCACCACCTAAGCATTTATAGTATACGCAAACAATAATTTATTGATAACTGATAAAAAAATATTACTCATATGAACGGTGAAGGGGGGAATGGGAACGCATAAAATGGTAGGCAACTAGTAACAGTTAAAATGAGGGAATACGATCAGCCGTTTCACCACCTTAACTCACTGAATTATAGTCGCAAGTCGCCTTCGCCTCGCGGTGTCTCGTTCTGAAAACATTAGCTCGGTCACAAAAGGCTATATGTAATTTAGCTTTCATGAAGCGTTTTATTTTATTGTTTAAATAACGACCTGTACAAGTACTTCTTGGTAATTTAATATGACAATCAGTATTTATTGATTATCGCCAAGATTAAGTTATTATAGGTGATTATTGGTCAATGTTAATGATTCTTTTACCGCTACACGTAGTTCTTGAAATATTATTAGTCAGCATCATTGCCGTTTACGAAGTGTCTAAATAATGCCTGTTGCATTTTGCTGACTATTTCTTGAACCTTGCGATGAATGACTATGTCTACATGCGTGTGTATATCCATATGTATGTGGCTATAGTAAGTATCTTTGATTGTCTGTTCATTGCCTTTCCTGCTCTTTCAAAGTGAATGTAATGTTCTGTAAGTGTAATAACTATCGGTGAAATATTTTTCCTATTCTTCAAGTCGTGTATCTATCTATCGGATATTTTTACCTAACCATATATGTATAAGATATACTTAGTAATGAGCAGGATGTTAAGAATAACTAGAAATTATACTTTTACTAGGTTTTACCCGCGGCTTCGTTCACGTCGATGTCCTGAATACCTGTCAAAGATCATATCGAAGATCACATAAAACAAATTTTTCTATCCCTCGGGGCCAGTATTTTTTTTGGATAAAAGGCACCCTATATCATTTCTTGTACCCCTAATAATGTATGTACAAAATTTCATGATAGGTTTTACCCGCGGCTTCGTTCGCCTTGAAGTCCTAAATACGTATTAAAGATTATCAACGACCACATAAAACTAATCTTTCTGTCGCTCGGAAACAGTTGTTGTTTTCTGGATAAAAGGTACCCTATATCCTTTTTTATACTCCTAACAATATATGTACAAAATTTCATGATAGGTTTTACCCGCGGCTTCGTTCAAGTTAAAGTCCTTAATATGTGTCATAGATGATCGACGACCCCATAAAACTAATCTTTCTTTCCCTGGGAAACAGTTGTTTTTTTCTGGATAAAAGGTACCCTATATCTTTTTTAAACCCCTAACAGTGAGTGTACAAAATTTCATGATAGGTTTTACCCGCGACTTCGTTCTCGTTGAAGTCCTAAATACCAAGATCGACGATCTTATAAAACTAATCTTTCTATCTCTCGGAAACAGTAGTTTTTTTCTTTTGGACAAAAGGTATCCTATATCTTTTTTGTACTTTGCCTTACAAAATATAATCTCCTTGGTCAATCATTAGAAAATTATACGAATGACTAAAATCATTAAATGTTTTGTAAAACTAAACTGCATTTAATACAAAATATGAAAAGGGGATTACGGAAAACGTCTTTTCTTTTGCTAAACAATATTGTAAGAAATTTATTGATTCGAATTAAAAGTGTTGACCAGTCTTCCCATTTGTTTTCAAAATATTGATTATCCTTAATGTAGATATATAGGTAATCCAAAAAATTAATTAAACTGGTGGTTAGTGCATCAGAAATTAAGTTTATTTCTTACATTTTTATAAAAAAGAATTCATTCTTCAATCAGTATTCGTTAATTATTAAATTACTTACTAATTTCTCAAAAATTGTTCGGCTTTTCCACTACGTTCACGCAGAAATTCACATTTCACTTAAAAAGAAATGGCACTTGATGGATTTGCAGAAAATAATCTGGCTCCAACAACTTACAATATCAGTATGTAACACATAAATATTTCTAATCGTAAGTAGGTGAAGGCAACAGCAATTATTTTATTAATATGTACATTTCAGGATACCGCTTTATACATATATATATGTATGTATACATCAACTAATAATGCATACCCCTTAACTGACTTGATTCATTGTTGATTGTAATTAGATTATTGAGGGACGACATGGAAAATATGCATAATAGCTTCATTTTCATTTTTTTGATGTTGAAAAGATAAGTTCTTCTATAATAAGGTATTACAGAGATTTAAAAAATTATAAACTTTATTTTCTTCTAATTTTACATTTCACTAGACAGGTACACATATGGTGTTTTAATTTTTATAAAATCATTGATATTATTCATTTTTCTGTTCTCATTTTGTCATTGAAACAGGGATCAATAATATGGATCCTTCATAATATCAGGATTGTTGGTCAGGTTTCTGGCACAAGAAGAGATGTACTTACGATTACTTATATATGTACAATACTTAATGAATAGGGACTCAACCTCAAGAACTCGAATCTTTTAGCCTGAAAATTTCACAAAAATGTATTTATCATATGTTTGAAAAAAAGATATGGTTGACACCCTGAGAGGGCCTAGCAAACTCACTAAGTTCCTTGAAAATGTCAATGGGAAACTTTCGGATTTATTTTTTTTTTTCAAAACTATTTCATGATACGTTACATGCACCACAAAACAATTCTCTCATCTGCGCCATGTTTTTTAGACTCCTCCCATTTAACNTGACATTTACGTT